CCCAGAAATCTAGGTCTCTGTCTTTACATCTGATGGCTGTTGTTGGGCAGATTTACAGGGACCAAGTGGGAGGGAGACCATAGGGATAGTCAATAGTCCAGTGATGTGGGGACGGGGACACAACACACACACACACACACACACCACACACACACACACACACACACACACCCTTTATTGACCACAAAGGCACTGTGATTAGGAAACTTTGCAAAACTGATTACGATCAGGAGACCCTTGAATACCTTACACATCTGATTTAGATGAAGCTGGCTAAACCAGTTATAATTAGGAGAGTCTTGCAAACTTTGCCTAAATGAAGTTGGCTTACACCACTATTGAGCATATAAAAACTTCCCAGTAAGGTCAATCATTGATCAAACATGGAGTCACTTCTGTCAACTAGAACTAGTAGTTAGGTCATTTATTTCAAATAGGTGCAACTAGGTGGTGCGATAAACAGAACTGGGCCAGGAATCAGGAAGACCTGGGTTCAAATCTAACCTCAGACAATTCCTAGTTGTGTAACTCTTGGCAAGTCATTTAATTTCTGTTTGCCACCGTTTCCTCATCTGTACAATGGTGATAATGATAGCACCTATATCCCAAGGTGCTTGTGAGGAAAAAGGAGATAATAATTACAAAGCACAATGCCTGACACATAGTGAGCTCCATAAAAAATGTTAGTTATTCTCATTATTAGCAATAAACCAATCCTCACAAAAATCAACAAGTTTTTGAATGTTGAGGAAGAGGAAAGATTCTTGTATGTACTACTATTATAAGAGTATAAGCAGGAGATAATCTCAAAGGAAAAGAACTAAGATTAAGGAAGACTGGGGCAGGTTTATTATAGAAGGTGAGACTATCTGAGATGTAAAGGATGACCGGGAATCCAAGAGTTAGCAATGGGGAGAGAATTACAGGCATGGAGGCGGGCCAACAAAAAATGCCTAAAGCTGAAAGATGGAGAGTCTACAATCATAGAATCTAGAAGAGGAATATACATTAGAAAAAATAAAGTCCAACCCCCTCATTTTACATATAAAACTGAGAGCCAGAAATGTTAAATCATTTGCTCAAGGTCATACAGGTAATAGGTGGAAGAGCTAGGATTTGAACTCAGATCCTGTGACTCTGAGTTCAGTCCTCTTTGTTTGCTTTGTGGTGAGGCAATTGGGGTTAAGTGACTTGCCCAGGGTCACACAGCTAGTTAAGTGTCAAGTGTCTGAGTCTGGATTTGAACTTGGGTCCTTCTGACTCCAAGGCCAGAGCTCTACCCACCGCTGCCACCTAGCTGCCCCTTCAGTCTTCTTTTTACTACTAATAAACAACATAGAATTGATGTCTTACTAGGGTTAGATTGTTTCTTGCTTCTATGCAGTTCAACAAGTATCTGTTGAGCTTTTGAAAAGCAAGTATTTCTTGGGCATCTGGATTTTATAGGAACCTTTACAAGAGATTACCCTAGTAAATACAATAATGATAACCTAGCAAATACAACTGTGGTTCCTGTGAAATAGCCATGTAGCCTTTCTTTCCAGAGTAATCTCAAAAGTTTAAGCTGTGTCTATATGGGCACTAGGTGCCACAGTGGACAGAGCCTTGGAATCAGGAAGACTCATCTTCCTGAGCTCAAATCTGTCCTTAGACACTTACTAGATGTATGACCCTAGGCAAGTCACTTAACCCTGCCTGCCTTCGTTTCCTCATCTGTAAAATGAGCTGGAGAAGGAAATGGCAAATCAATCTAGTATCTTTGCCAGCAAAACCCCAAATAGGTCACAAAGAGGCAGACACAACTGAACAATACATTCTTCTTGGAACGTCAGAAGGGGTCACGAAGAATCAAATGTGCCTGAACAATGATGAAAACGACAACATAAAAGTCCAAAACAATTGGGTGAAAATGAAAGCTGTAATCAATGTGTTGTTCACCCACACATTGCCAGTCATTCTAATGGATGGTCAGACTGAATTAACTTGAATCAATCAGGGTTTTAGCACCACTGAGGCACAGTTTCTTCCAGGCCATAAGAAAAAAAAAAGTAATGTGTTCACTGGCCCTTCTCAAAGTTATTACAGTCAAAGTAGCAGTGTGAGCAATAAATGACTTGACCAGGCTCCTAAAAAGTACAGGGCCAGCTTAGGTGGTTTATTTTCAATCAGCATTAAATCGAGTCAGTGGGCAAAGGGAGAGAGGTCTGGCCTCGGAGTCAGGAATACCTGAGCTCATCTTATTCCTGCTATTTAATAACTCTGTGACCATAGGTAAGTATCTAAACCTCTCAGAGTTTCTTTAACTTAGGAAACTCTCTAAAATGAGAAGTTCCAGATGAGTTGAAAACCTGGCACCATAGAATTCCTCACACCCATGGAGTCATAGGTTGGAACCAAAAATAAAATAATAATTACTACTTATGAGCCTCCTGAGTTTGTCTAAGTTTTGTTTAATTTCCTTCAGGACTAAGGGCTGTACTAATCGGTTTTCCATCTTACACTCTATAAACCGGAGAGTAGCAAGGGGAATACTCAGGTTACAGCATGGCAACATTGTTCAACTGGACCAATTAAAGGAACAAAAGAAAACTGCAGCCTTCCCAGATGTAACCTCAATGAGCCCGTCTTTTAAGTCAGTGATAGGCATTCTGTCACAGTGCCCATTCACTCCTTATTTATTTCATATCAGTCTGACTGTTGATCTCTGTTAATATATATGGAATTAAGGCAATTGTTTTCTTGATGGAAGGAGAAATTGCTCAGTGCATTCATTATATGAACACTCACTTCCCATCTCCTGATTGGCTTGCTGACAACATGTGATTAAGACTTAAATTCACAAGCTGCACAGAGACAATATGGTGTAATAAGATGGAAAAAGAGCTGGACATATAGCCAAGAGAGCCCTGGGTTCAAATCTCATCTCCTGTATTAACTAACTGGGTGTCCATGGTCAAGTTGCTTAATTTCTATGAGCCTCAGTTTACTCATCTCTGAAACAGGGAGAGAATGGAAACGAGATATTTCAGAAAAAGAACTGTGAGGAGATTGTGGACAATAGCACTCAAGGATCACAAGTCAAGTATTTCATTAATCTCAGACATGCAAGCGTGAAGCCTGTCAGTACCTTACTACCTACCTAACCTACTTAGTAACCTACATTCCAGGCTTATTGGGAACAGCTAGGTGGTACAATGGATTAAGCACTAAACCTGGAAGTCAGGGAGACCTGAGTTCAAATCCTGCCTTAGTTACTTATTACCTGTATGACTCCAGGCAAGTTACTTAACCTCAATCTGCCTCAGTTGTCTCATTTGTAAAATGGGGATAATAATAGCACCTACCTCCCAGGATTGTTGTGAGGATAAGATGAGATATTTGTAAAGTGTTTTGTAACAAAAACCCTCTAGAAATGCTAGCTATTATTATTATTGCAAAATGTAATAATTATTGTAAAGTACTTTGCAAGCCTTGAAAATATAATATAAACTATTTGGTTAAGATGACCCCGTGCAGAAATTCTTAACTTTTTTGTGTCACGGATTCTTCTTGCTGTCCAGTGAAGCCTATAAACCCCTTTTGAGAATAATATTCTTAAGCCAGAAAGTAAAATACATAGAATTAAGGAAATCAAATTAAAATAAAGATGTCACTTTTTTTCCCATTGAGGTTCATAGGCCCCCTGAAATCAATCCATCTTTTTGTGGATCCCAGGTTAAGAACCCCTACTGAGAGGGGAAAGCTAGGTAGCATAGTAGATAGAGCTCCAGCCTTGGAGTCAGGAGGACCTGAGTTCAAATCCGACCTGAGACACTTGAAACTTACTAGCTGTGTGACCCTGGGGAAGTCACTTAACCCCAATTGCCTCACCAAAAGAGAGAGTGAGAGAGAGAGAGAGTGAGAGAGAGAGAGAGAGAGAGAGTGAGAGAGTGAGAGAGAGAGAGAGAGAGAGAGAGAGAGAGAGAGAGAGAGAGAGAGAGAGAGAGAGAGAAACCGCTACTGGGTAAAGAAGAATTTATAGGGCCATAGATTTACACCTGAAAGGGAACCTTGCAGGTTGCCTAATTCAACCTCTTACTGAAACAGAAGCCAACAATATAGCCTTTTATCTACAGTTTCTCTCCCCTAAATGGACCGAAGAATGGTCCAATGTTTGCCTCTCTTAAACCAGTATTTTGCAACATATACAACTGGATTGCAGGGCCATAGATTTGGAAGGGACAGTCATGTGGTCCAACCCCCGTCCCTGTCTTACAGGTGAGAAACCGAGGTTCATAGAGATTAAACACAGCCTCACACACACAATGTATCAGAGCAAGGATTTAACCTAGGTCCTCTGAATCCAAACATTGTCTCACCCACAGAAAGTACCTTTTCTTTTTTCTCTACAGAATCAGTGCGTCATAAAATAGAAAATCTATTATAAATAGGATCTTATTACTTTTGGCAGGGAAGGGAATGAATAAGGTGGTATAGTGAATATAGTTCTGGATCCCATAGGAAGACACAGGATTGAATCCTATCTCTTACGCTTACTGCCTATGTGACCATGGTCATTTTTTAATCTGTCGCATGGGAATGCCTGTACAAGGTATTTACCAGGCTCCATTGGGATAACAGGGCAGCTAGGTAGCATAATGGATAGAGAGGGTCCTGGGCCTGAAGTCAAGAAGACTCATCTTCCTGAGTTTAAATCCTGCCACAGACACTTGCTAGCTGTGTAACCTCGGACAAGTCACTTAACCCTATTGGCCTCAGTTTCCTCATTTGTAAAATGACCTGGAGAAGGAAATGGCAAACTACTCCAGAATCTTTGCCAAGAAAGCACCAAGTGAAGTCACAAAGAGTCAGACACAACTGACCAACAACAATGGAATAATGGGATATTGAACAGAAAGTGTTTTGCTAATCTTAGTTCATTATGTAAATGTCAGCTGTTATGATTTCTGGTGTATGGAACTGACACCAATTCTCTCTTCTCCCCATCTTTCCAAATACAGGAGCTAACGCCTCAGCCCCAGACCAACTGAGTTTAGCATTAGCCTGGAACAGAGTAGACATCGCTCGAAGCCAGATCTTTATTTACGGGCAACAGTGGCCGGTATAGTATATACATCGTCATCTCATGGAAATGCCCCTGATGTGGGCTTCAGGACTAATTTAAGCAGCCTCTGGAGGGGCTCAAGAAAACACTGGGCTCTGATTTGAGAACTTGGATTCTTGGTGGCAGGGGAATCTGTCAGTAGTTGATTTGGCTGGCAGAGGCACCCTTCTTGGTCTTTAGGGAAAGATCCCCATCTAGTGGAAACACAATTGAACCTGAGCAAAACTCTTTTTCTTGTGCCAATTAATACCTGTGCCAGCCAGTTTTCAGTTTTCTGTTTTAAAAAAAAAATCCCATTAGTGAAAACGAAGATCTGAAAGGAATTAATCACTTGTCTTTGTTCGAGGGTAAGAGTGAGAAAGAGGTTGGCAATTTCTGGGCCCCAGGCACCCTTGTCCTACTTTATGCCTGGGTCACACAGAGGAGACTCAGAACACACACCGACATGGCAACTGCCATCTGGCACTTTGCAGCACAGCACACGGTCTTCTGTGTCTCCCAAAAGAACAGCATGAAAGGAAGCTGAGCTTTATATAACTGTTCTTGGGCTGTGTCCCTGATTGTAAGGGGGAGGGAGCATTGGAAAATTGGGCAATGGGTGTGCCCATTGCAGCCTGGGTCGGGGGGAGTGAGGAGGAAAGGGAATGGGGAGCAGACAGGTGACATGAAACAAGTCCTGTGCCTAGAAGCACCTTTAACACTGACCATTTCCAGGTCTTTTTTTTTTTTTTAACTCTCACTTTATCAGAAAGGCTGTGCTTGGGTTAATGCCAACACCTGTCTGTCCTTATCAGTCAAATTAAGTGAATGACACTGTTACTTGAGAATGCAAAAGAATTTATCAGAAAACTTGAGCACTGGGAGGCTGGGGAGGGAAACGAGTGAAATAAATTGTTTCTAAAAATAATGGGTTATTTTTTGTTTTACTAGATATGCCACAGTCTGCCTCACCCTCTTCCACCAGGGCCAACTAGTAGTCACTTAGATTTAGTTTGCTAAAACTAATATACTTCTGGGCTATTATTAGGCACTATCTTAACTCCTAAAAGATGGTGAGATAGATTGGATAGAGGACTAGCCTTGGAATCAGGAAGGCCTGAGTTGAGTTCCTTCATATGATGCATATTTACTGTGACCATGGACAAGTCACTTAACCTTTTAGACTTCCCAGGGGAATTTCATTAGATTATAAGGGAAGCATAGTGGTACAACAGAAAGAGCAATAAATTTCAGTCATAGAACCCAAGTTCAAACTTCAGCTTTGCCATTCTCTGCCTTTATGACCTTAGCCAAGTTTCTGGCCTCAGTTTCCTCATCAGTAAAATGATAGTCTCTAAATTTATTGTCCTAAAAGTTATAGCAAAATTGCTAATCTGCTGCTGCTGAGTTTCCACATCAGGAGTTCCCCACAGCTGTGAAATCACAAGTCTAGACAAAAATAAAAAGGAGCCCTAGTTGAAGTGAAAGGATGTATTAAAAATGTAAGTACTCCCTTTGAAGTTCAGAAGAATGGAGGGATAATAGAAAGAGAAGCCCCTCTAACTCTTCTGCCTCTCTCAGCACATGGCTCACCTAGCTACCATCTTATGATAGCCACTTACCCAGATGACGCAAGCCCAGGAACAAGGCAGCAAAAAAGATGTGTGGGGGGGAGGGGGACAAACTGCCATATTCATAGATTTTTCAGGAGGTTATAAGATTATCAAGTTACAGCCAGAAGAGTCCTTAGAGGCCACTGAGTCCAACCCCCTCGTTTTACAGTTGAGGAAACTGAGGCAAAAGAGGTTAAGTGACTTTTCCAAGGTAACACAGCTAGTAAGTGTCTGAGTCAGGATTTGGACATGTCTTTCTGACTCCAGGTCCAGCACTCTGGTCATTAAGCCATCAATCAGACATTACTTTTTTAGGTGGATTAAGTGGCTTCCAAAGAGCTGGCCAACTTATGCCAGTACTGGGTCAGTTATCACTTTCCAGGTCAGAAGTCATCTAATCCAGTGATCTGGTTCTCAGGTGGGGTCCCTGGAGCAAGCAATGCTGGATGCCCTAGTGCTGGACAGAGTGGATTTTGTGAAATTGCTCATAGAGAATGGAGTAAGCATGCATCGTTTTCTCACCATCTCCAGACTAGAGGAATTGTACAATACGGTAGGGCCAAGCTAAGGCAAATTTTTTCTCTTAAGTTTCTTGTTTTGCCTCTTCTACATTTCTGTGTTGGCAAGATGCATGGCCCTTTTCATTCACCCTCTCCACTTTCAATCTTTCGTTTCCTTTCCTCACCCACTATAAATATAACCTGGCCATATAACAGCAATGACAACAATAACAAAACTAGCTAACTTTTAAAGAGTTTTGTGTACTAAGAGACTTGTTCACAAAAACTCTGCAAGGTAAGTGGCATGAGTATTATTATACCCGTTTTACAGATGAGGAATCAAAGACTCAGAGAGCTTGAATGACTTCTTCTAGGTTACACAGTGGGTGTTGCAACTAGGATTTGAACACTTCTAATCCCAGTGTTCTTCCTACTAGGCCACTGAACTGAACTAAGAAGGCTCTCACACAAGACAACACAACTTCTGGGTGTTATAGTATAGTTGATCCCAACTCTATCATGTACAAATTTGAAATAGGTTGAAATCAGAATGTTAACGGAGAATTTTCTGCTATTGAAAGTGTAAAACTAGACTAAGGCTTTTGGGGCTTCCTGTATAATGCTTTAAAATTTGTAAATCACTTTTACACATATTGATCCTCACAACCCAATGAGGTAGGAGTTATTATTAGCCCCATTTTACAGGTGGGGAAATGAAGGCAAACAGAGCTGAAGGAAGCTTAAGTAGCTTAGCCAGGGTCAAATAGCTATTAAGTGTTTGAAGCAGGATTTGAACTGAGTTATTCTTGACTCCAAAGTCTGCTTTCTTGTCTATTTGCAAGTAGGGGGGACAACTTTATAACTAGAATATAGTTTATCTTCTTTAAAAATTGAACTGGCATCAATTGGGATACTAATAATTCCTCAGGCAGTTGGAATTTTATAGCAATTGGACATATGCTATTCCATTTAAGTTATAGAACAAACCCTAGGAGGTAAAAATAGAGTAGACTTAATGACTTTCCTAAGGTCATTGAGCTAATTAGTGGCAGAATCAAGACATGAACCCCAGTCTTCAGCAGCACGGTACTTTGAAATGAGTACTAGGTTTGAATTCAGAGGAATGGGGTCCAAATCTCAACTATGGTCCTATGATATGATATATGTGGGGCTTTAGCTGAATTATTTAATCTCTTTGGCTTTTAGTTTCTTTGCCATTCTTTGTATTTCTAAAGCTTATCCATGATATATAGCAGGTGCTTAGTAAACTCTTGTTGTCTTGACTTGTAAGATCAGTGGGTTGGACTTGATCACCTCTGGAATCCTTTCCGCCTCAAAATCTATCCTTCTGTGACTCCCATCCCACTGTTATTCCCTCTCAACTCCACCCTGCCTCTCCATCTTGCCTTCCTGATGAGTACCATTGCCAGATAAAAACTAGCTGATTCTTTTTGTCATTTTCAGAGACATGGACCATCCAATACTTTGTACCACTTGGTCAGGGATGTCAAAAAGGTAAGATACCTCTCGACAGCAGGTCGGAGGCTCTGCTTCGTGTCATTAGAAATGGATGAACTCTGTTTTGCATGGGCTGCCAAGTCAGAATGTACTCATATCTGTCCCCTAACACTCATCCCTCACTGCATTTCAGATTGTAATTTGTGGCCATGTTGACTGACTCCTCTGCCTACATTGCAGCAGTGACCAAGCTTCTCTCTAGATGGTTTTAGATGCTTTTCTGGATATAATGCTTTGGCTAATGAAATTGTAGGCTGTTTCATGTCATGTGGATTTATGCTGTTATCGGTATTCTTCCATATAGCCTTTACTCTTTGGGGTGCTAGTTTCCATGTTGTTGGTCTATTCATATTATTTATCTTGGTTTGCTGAGCCCTAACTCATTACTGTAGTTTCATTTCTGCTACATTAAATGTAATGTGTTGTACACACATCTAGAAAGATCTAGGAAAAGTAGGTGGTGGAAAAGTAATAATGCTTTAAAATATTCACCTTTCTGTAGGATTTTAAGGTTTAAGGAGTGCTTTTAATACCCTGTGATCTAGATAAGATAAGCATTATTATCCTTATTTTGTACATAAGGAAACAGAAGTTAAATGACTTACCCACAGTCATTTGCTGGGAAATATCTGAGCATGAGACTTAAGCCTCCTGACTTTCCAATATGCCACACTTGCAACTCAGAATCATAAAATTTTAAAGTTGAAAGATACTCATGCAGCCATCTAGTTCAACCACTACCTGGAAAAGAATATATATTACAATACCCAACTAGTCGTCTGGTCCCTCTTGAATCATTATAGCAGTTAGCATTTTTCAAAACATTTTCACAGTTTAGCCTTGCCTTGTGTGATTGGTAGCAAACTATTATTGTCCCCACCTTACAAAGAAGAAACTAAGGAAGTAAGAGTCAGAGTGACACGGCCAACCCTACCAAGTCATAGGGTCATAGATATAGCATTGGAAGAGACGCTAGAGATCATTTGGTATAGTCCAACCCACCTTATTTTGTGGATGAAGAAACTGAGGTTCAGAGACGTTGTGACTTGTCCAAAGTCATATAAATAGCAAAGAGCAGAGAAAGAATTCAAACCCAGGTCCTCTGATTGCCAAGCCAGTGCTCTTTCATTTAGTGACAGAAGGACTCCTGTGTCTTAATCTAGTGCTTTTTCTACCACATCATTAATACAGTAGATGGGGTTCTGAACCCTTGCCATTATTCCGGGTAAGTGCTACTCTAATTCCAAAAGGCCTGATAGAAAAACACAACCTACATGGCACACTTTAATTAGCAGCACTACCATGTCTTAAAGAAAACTACCCTGAAAGCCACGTGGGATTTGCTGGAGAGCAGGCTGATGGTGAGGTCTGAAGTGCAATTCAGCGTGCTCACCTTATAAAATGGATTTGGTTGAAATGCAGAACAGACCTTAGGGACTCCTATATGTGGTTTCATTTTTGAGTGTGCAGGAAGTCTGTAGTAAAAGGCAGCTTCTTTCTTGTTCATCTTTTGCTCTCGAAGAGGACCAATGACACCAGAAGGGTGATGTCTTGACTTGCAAGTGAACTGGATTTTAAGTGAGGCAGGGCTGTGCAAAGTCACCAGCCTCACTCTCTCCTCCAGAGTCATTGGAGTCCAGTGGCAGGACATAGCTGTGGCATAGCGGATAGAAAGCTGGCCTCATAGCCCCAGAGACTCAGATCCCAGCCCTATCTCCGACATACTGGGCTGTGACCCTGGGCAAGTCACCTAACTTGTTGATATTCTGGGTAGCTCCCTAATACTAAGTTGCAGGGGAAATGCCAACCTGCACTGGTAGAGGAAGTTTCCCTATACCATCCATGAGTTAGTTCCATTTACCAATGACATCACTTCTCTGCTCCTTGCAGAAAGTCGTAGGCCCTGATAGGGACCATTGGTACATACCTTGGCCTTGTACCAAGGCAGAATCTCAATGAGAGTATTTTGATTGAAGCCTATATATTCATGGAGTCCCCAGTACTGAGAATCTATACTAGTTGCCCTGAGGAGCCTCCCTTCTTTATTCCAATCAAACTGAGAGATTTTCTAGAGTTTTCTTTTTTTTTTCCTATTAAAATGTAAGCTCTTTAAGAGTAGGAATTTCTTTTGAATTTTTATCCCATAGTACATAGTAGGTGCTTAATAAATGTTTATTGATTGACTGATTGAGTGAAAGGTCTAGCCTTTGTCCCCCAGATAAAAGAAATGAGGGGTCTTGTGACACCCCAAAAGAGTGGCATTTTAGTGAGACTGGCCCCTAGGGTGACAACCCTGAGAAAGCTCTCTTTCCCTTGATCCTTTGCTTTACTCTAGGGCCATCTTTAAATAAGAGACAAACCTAAAAACTAATCTAGGTTTATTAGAACTAAGCAGGGAGAGGATTACAAGGCCAGCTTTTACAGTATGGCTCTCAAGGACCTCAAGCAAACGCTTAACCTCTCTGGGCATCAGCATACTCACCTGTAGAATTTGAAGGATTGATTCTAAGGTCCCTTCCAGCTCTAAATCCATAACCTTTGCCAAGATCATTGCACGTCACATATGTGCTAAAACCCACAGGAAAGGGCTATCCTTGAGCTATTCCAAGATGATAATGAAGCCTTTGGCGCCATCACCTTACTTCTGATATATGTCACCCTAAGAAATGAGAGAACAAAACCCAGAAATTTCTAAAACAATACCCTCGTTATTGCCCTGTACCCTCAGTCATCATGAGTCAAGGCCATGGTGGCCTAAATGATTCCAATGAAGTTATATCAGTAATCACTTTATCCCCCTTTCCCATGCCCTACCCCTTAGTAGAGCTTAGCATTGTGCCATCCGTACTGCCCCTGTCCTATATCTGATTGCTGTATTTTGCTTTTCTTGGGCATCGCTGATAACCTCAGAGTGATTTTCACAATTGGTCCTCCTAGACTAAGGACTACAGAAACTCTTCAAAAAACTCTATTGCAAAACTCTGGCTTATCAATTAAGTTTCTTTTTTTGGGTCGATAAATGATTCCTTCATGTATTGTCTTCACTTCAACTGGAATACAAAGAGTGAGAAATATTTCCTTTTTATGGATGATCTGCTGATTTTATATGAACCTCAAAGACTATAGAGTTGGGCAGAGGTTAGGAGGTGCTATGTGTTTGTTTAGGGATCTGGTAGAGTACATTCCAAAGGAATGAACTGAAATTGGGGGGAGAACAGTTGTTTATTCCTTTAGAAATGTTGCTGGTATACAGATCTCCCTTTCCTCCTTCTTCCCACTCTTTTTGAATTGTAAATCCTTAATATTCTTTCTTACTTCTTCCCAACCAATTCCCTTAACCTAGGGGTTCCTGAACTTTTTTTGGTCCTCAGACCCAGTGGTTTTTCATATACCTTCCCACACCAATTCAGTATGAAAGGAAATAAATTCTAGAGTTTACCATGCATATACACGTAAGAATACAATTATTTTATGTAAAATAAATTTTGTTTATATAAAATAAATTTTAAATTTTATTTTTCATTAATTATATAATTTCAGTAGGACAATATGATTAGTTACCAAATATTCCTCTTGGCAAGCATTTACTGTCCCCTGCTGGTGTGCATATCCCAAATTGGGAGCCCAAGTACTTTAAGCCATCCAGCAAGAATTAAAAGTTATCCACCCTTAAAGTATAAAATACACCAAAGGCAGTCCATTATCTATGCTTTTCTGGGTCTGGTATCTGCTGGTCTTGTAGCATTCAGGAGCATAAAGCCAACCAGGGTTTAAATTTCTCCTTTTCTGGTAAGATAATCTATCCTAAGAATGATGGTAACTTCCTATGGGGTATTCACTCAGGATGTGAGTGTAACATTGACCTCAGAGCTGGCTTGAGGCCACATTTTTTGGTGTTGTGATCTCATGTGGAACTGGAGGAGTACTCTCCCACACTTAAAATTACTCATGTCTCACACATTTCTCCCTTCCTTCCCTAGGAAGGAGGTTGATCTGAAAGAATTTAGTTCCTAAGCTAGAGAGTTTAGTGATCACTTTCCATGTGCATTCCACATCCATAACCAGTATAACTCGAAAAAATTTGGAAGGCTCTACTGCCTCAGAAAATCTACCCAGTGTAGCATTTGAATGCTCCTCCATCTTGACTGTCTTACCCAGTATTCTATACTCAGAGGCTCAAAAGCAGTACGCTATGTCTTTTCACTAGTGCCTCATCACATTTCTGTGGTGCTCCCAAAAAACCTTAGGTAGGTTTGCCTTTCTTCCTGTGCAACATTCCTCCAAGTGTTACAAAGTGAATTTGATTAGTAGTAACAACTACTGTCTGCAATAGTCTTTTCAGGGGGGGTACAACCTACTACTCAAACGTAATAACCTTTTTTTTCTCAGAGACAGCCATGGCATGAAGGACCAAGGCAATTTTCTGAAAATTTATTCATTTGGGGAAGGACAGCTGGGAAACTTTCAGCATACTGAGCTCAATACTGAGGCTAATACATCCCTCGTGAACTTATTGTTCGCAGTTTAAAACGAGAATTTTATTTGATCAAAGGAAGAAAACAACACAGAATCCCTTGAATAGGTGCACTTTGGTCCAAGGACCCCCAAAGTTACAGTCCCAAACAGGAAAAAATTCCTCCCTTCAATCTGTTTCTTCCTCCACCGCTCCGGCACAGAGCACTGGGCCAGATGTGGGAGAGTGTTTCTTTTCTCTTCTCTGTGTTACCATGGCATTGTTCTCTTTCACACTACAATACAGTTATCTTTTCTGTAGGTTTTCTCTTCATAATGCTGAAGAAAAAAAAAGATTTTAGAGCTCTCTCTCTCTCTCTCTTGCTCTTTTGGTATAATTGCAACTCTACCAAGGAGGCAAAATCCACTGTTGGAATACTAATCTGCAAAAAGTTACTATTCCTTCTCTAATGTATCACAGCTTCCTAGCTGGCTTTCCCCTTTTTCTATGGGGGGGGGGTGTTTCTTTTTTCCCTTTTTGTTTG